GTATTCCTTTATATGTGGTTCAGAGTTCTGGGACCATCCCCTAAACCTGCTGGTTGGGTATTCTGTATTGTTGTTGGCGGAGCTCTCTGCTGCACATCCACCCGATCCGCCATCTTGTTTGTTCCTCCTCAGAATGATTTTTTTAACAAGCCCTTTAAGTGATCCTGATGCACTCCAAAGTTTTAGAAACACTGGTTTACAGCAGAGGCTTCCAAATTATGTCCCTCAGCTTTTACCTTTTGTATATCCCACTAATGGATTTACATTCATGCATATTAGAACATTGTTGTTGTTGAGTACCATCGAGCAACTTCTGATTCATAGTGACCCTGTATAGGGTTTTAAATTTCACAGGATCAGAAAGCCTCATTTTTCTCCTGTAGAGCTGCTGGAATGCTTGAATTGCAGACCTTTTGGTTCATGATCCAGTGCTTATTGTATGGAGCCACCACACTCTGAATTAGAATTGTTGTTGTTAAGTGCCATCGAGTCGATTCCGACCCATTAAGGCTATCTGTGTTAACTTTTTCTCAGTTGCTGTCATGTCAAGTCAGTTTATTTCTTAGTATTTTATCAAAATTAATAATGTACTTCTTAAATTTTAGTAACACTTATTAATACCATAGGCTCCTGGTGTGGTGCTGTAGGATCAGCACTGGACTGAGACCCACAGGTCGGCAGTTCAAACACACTAGCTGCTCCTTGGAAACCCTATACAGGGTCTCTATGAGTTGAAACCGACTTGACAGCACTTAACAACAACAATTAATACCATACACTCTTATCATATGTGTAAGAGACCTTCAAAAAGTTCATGGAAAAATTCCAGTTATCTTTAAATTCTATTTTCCCACAAACTTTTCGAAGTCCCTTTGTATTTGTTCTAAATATACTTGATGTTTAAAGGAGTAAAACTAAAGTAAGTTAAAGAACAGTTGTTAAAATTTATATAGTTTATCTACCTTTCTATTTTGAAATAATTTTAGACTTTTAGCCAAGTTGCAGTAGTACAGAGAACTCTTATAGCTGTTTATGTATTTGCCCTAATTGTATTTAAGTATATTTACACATATGCATGTATATAAAGTTTATTCTTTAGCTCAAAAGGAGTGAGTTGCAGATGTTGTGCCCCTTTACCCCTAGTACATCATTGTGTTTCTCCTAAGAGGAAGTACATTTTCTTACTTATAACCTTGTAGAATTGTCAGTATCAGGAAATTAACATTCATGCAGTACTTTCTTTGTGATCTGAAACCTTACTCATATTTCATCAGTTGTCCCAATAATGTCCTTTATTGCAAAAGAATAAAAGGTTTTTCCAAAATTGAATTGAGGATCTCTTAGTTGTCATGTATCTGTAGTATTTTTGTCTCTTTTAGTTGTCATGTCTCTTTGTTGTTGTTGTTGATATCTCTTTGTTGTTGTTGTTAGGTGCCGTCGAGTCAGTTCCAACTCATAGCGACCCTATGCACAACAGAATGAAACACTGCCTGATCCTGTACCATCCTCACAATTGTTAAATTTGAGCCCATTGCTGCTGCCACTGTGTCAGTCTATCTCACTGGGGGTCTTCCTCTTTTTCGCTGACCCTCCACTTCTCCAGGGACTGGTTCCTCCTGATAACATGTCCTAAGTATGAAAGACGAAATCTGGCCATCCTGGCTTCTAAGGAACATTCTGGCTGCGCTTCATCCAGCACAGATTTGTTTGTTCTTCTGGCAGTCCCTGGTACTTTTAATATTCTTCTCCAACAACCATAACTCAAATTCATCTGTTCTTCTATGGTCTTCCTTACTCATTTTCCAACTTTCACATGCATATGAGGCTATTAAAAATACTGTGGGTTGGGTCCTGCACACCTTAGTCCTCAAGCTAATATCTTTGCAAGTTATATTTGCAGAGTGAATGATATAATTAGTCTTTGAAAAGTTATATGGCAAATATCTTTAATGTAATGAAATTTTAGTGAAACTAGTTATAGAAAAGTACTTTGAGAGGACCATTTCAGTGAGAACCTAATATAGGAGATTTCTAAAAAGCAGGTGAAATAATTAGACTAACTGAAAAAATATTGCACTGGCCTAATGACCAGATTGAGTTGATGTTTCTGGGGGGAAATTAAGAATTTTTTTAGTTCTCACAACTACTTAATACATAAAACATTTATCCTAAAGGGAGGGGGCATTTTAAATATGGAACTCACTGGCATTTGAAACCAATTGGAACAAGATTTCTTTAATGCATTTTCCCCCTCTGATTTTGGTTGAGAGCTGTCATATTCTTTCACCTTATCCCTTTATCCCTCTCCTCACAACCAAGATCCTTATTTTATTCATTTATTATACTCAACTGTAATTTTTTTTGTATTAAAAATAAAATGTTTAATGTTGAAAAGGAAAATCAAGGTAAAATATATATACTTAGTCATTTAATCTGTATGCAAACTTTTTTTATTCTTTTGATTCACTAAAATACTTTTCATTTCTTAGGCTTTAACTTTTTTTTTTTCAAAGAGTTAGAATAATAGTGCTACTTTAAGAGAATTTTTGCTGATTTCTTTTTGCTCTGTGTGTGTGCACGCGTGCGCATATATGTGTATTTCAGTAGCTCCAGTGGCAACGTAAGCAGCAGAAAGGATGAGACAAATGTTCGAGACACTTATGTTTCATCTTTTCCTCGAGCTCCAAGCACTTCAGATTCTGTACGGCTAAAGTGTAGAGAGATGCTTGCTGCTGCTCTTCGAACAGGAGGTAAGTTTAGTGTCATGGCTTTTTTCCTCAGTACTCTGACTACCTCCGCTGCTATCTGCACCTCAATATTTACTGTCTTGCAAGCATCGTCCACTGCTGCTTAGCTCAGGGAGGAATTGTTGCTATTATGGTCAGTGAAGGAGCTGAAAAAGAGAGATAGTTTGAAAGCTGCTTATTGCTATATAATTCTAAGAAACAGATTCCTTTAATATATGTATGTTTGCCCTGATCATTATAGCTTAAGGAGTCTTGTTGTGGTGCTGTAGGATAAGCACTGAAATGCTAACCAAAAGGTCTGCAATTCAAATCCAACAGCTACTCCTCAGAAACCCCATACAGGGTCGCTATGAGTCAGAACCAATTCAGCAGCACTTAACAACAACATAATAGTTTAAACTGTTTTTCACAAACAGAGTATTATCCCCCCCCCCATATTTAATCTGCAAACTGATTACTTTGCACCCAAATTGAGAGTTAGTGATGCTGCATTTGCATCCTGTTAGTATATGTTTCATGTAAGTTGTGTGTTCTTAATTCCATTTTCTCCATTTATTTGTTAATGGAAAAAAATCTTGATTTATATGCTGGAGTTTAATTTGAGCATATCCAGTTTTACCATGTAAAATTTTGGCTTTATTAGAGTTTCATATGTAGGAATATTTCTCATTTTATGCAAATGCATCCTTTTTCTTTTCCTTTATACTAAACCTATTTTTGATTCGTTTCACCTGTTTTTTTCTCCTCCACTTTTTTTTTACTCTCTCCACTTTGATTTACTTCACTGGCTCTTACAGTTGTTTTTTTCCTTCTATTTCTTTTTGATTTGTTTTTATTTCCTTCTAGCCTTTTGAATGTATTTGTATGAGTCTTCTGAGTGTGCCCCATATATGTGATTGACAGATGAAATGAATGGTTTATTTGCATTGAAGCCTGAGTCACAGGAGACCAGACAGTTCTTTCCATAATTTACTTTCTGCTGGATCAACCAGAATTTATGGAGTTGTGAAATGAGGAATTGCCTGCTAGATCAATATCTCGCTGCTGAGGGATAAGCCGTCACCAGTGAGCAGGAGCATTGGAGAGTAGGTGAATCCAGAGGAGGCTTATGGGTAGTAAAAGGACCAGATTCAAATGAAACTAAATGGATTCTGTATGTAAGGCAAGTGGGGTTGAAGAAATAGGAATGCACTTTGTTGTTGTTGTCAGGTGCCATCGAGTCGGAACCGACTCATAGTGACCCCATGCACAGCAGAACGAAACAATGTCCGATCCTGGGCCAACCTC